ATGTTGAACAAATTCTCCTTGTCAGCACCTAAGGAAACGTATAGAGAACAGTATGGAGAATAAGCATATTGTAGCCTGTAGTGCAGGTGTTTATTATGGCAAGTTAACGTTTGAAGCGCGCGATCGTTATTGAACCGGCCATGTTTAATTTGGTGTCAGAGTCGACGGTAAGGGGAGGGGGCGAGAAAACGTAATATTCAGACCCCCCACCCCAGCCCCTCTCATTATTTTTGGCTGGCACTCCCTCCCTTAGTACAAATTTCATTCTCTTCTCCAGCCTTCCGCTTCCATTAAATTCAAGGACGGCGGCCATATTTCGCTAAGAAAATAATGAACATAAACACTCGCTCGCCCAAATTGTGAAAAGGGTATTCTTTTTTTCGGCCGGCACCGTTTTACGGCGAACGGTTAAACCCATTGAGGCCTTCAAATAGAGAAGAACAAAGAAAAATATATTATGCTGAATAACATCTGATACAAACATCGTTTTTATCTTCGTGCAGGATTTGAAGGCAAGGCTACAGTCGCTGTTCTGGTGGTAATCTTTGTGTTTCTGATTTTATGGATCCCGTTTCTGATCACGCGGGGATTCATGGCGTTGACTCAGATCTACGTCTCACCAATAGTAACTACTTCAGTTGTGTGGCTGTTACATTTAAATTCGGTTGTGAATGTCTTCATTTACACGGTGCGCAGGTCAGACTACAGGCGTGCATTTGTGTCAATCATCCGCTGTACATCATTATCTCGGTCTGCTGATATCGAGCGCACGGTTACCAACATACATGAAGCCAGCTCGAAAGAACTGAACTTAGACCGCAGTTCAGGAACGATACAGCTGAACTGCACGGTGACTACGATACCTGAAGTCACTTGAATTAATTAAAACATGAATCGAGAGTAAATACTATTCATCAGGGACCATTATTATTTATACTCTGAAAGCTGGTAGGGGGGGTGGGTGGTGGTTGAGTATTTGAGTTGTGCGGGAGTAAAGTTTATCTCCCATAGTCAATTTGCTATATTCCTCCCTTAAACTCTGTCAAAGACAACTAGAATAAAGACAAGGATACGAGACACTTTGCTGGTCCCTTATTAGAAAAGATAGATAGATAGATAGTTTATTAGAATATCGAACATGGCAGTCCGTAGACTGAATTGCGTTACAATTACTTAGAACTAGGAATAAATGAATTCCAAATACAAATTGAGATTATAATAAAACCATAAATGCGAAAAACTCTCTATATGTGACTCTGTACAAACTAGTCTAAAAAAAATTTATTTACACATACTTGGAATAAAAGTGTTCTTGAAACGATTTGTATGTGTACGGGGCATGGCATAAGCCCTGGACTGTCTTAGATTATATCTGAAAAAATCAAAGAAAAATCATGTTGCTTAGCATGAAAATGTAAAATCGAAATGGCACGAGCGAAAACATTTTAGGTCACAGGGACATGTGACGAATCACTTTCCTGAGGTAGTAGAAACGACTTAATCAGTGTACACATTTGTAAATAAAAAATGCCTTTGATCTCATTTCTATGCAGTCTCCTAATGTAATTACATCAGCACTTGCACAACGCTAAATCGCCAAATGAGACACTCATTAGGTTTTTAGGAATTTCTTGTGGTTGCATGTTTCTCATTTCTGATTTTTTTCTTAAAAAAAGTATAAGACTTATGTTCGTTACTTCCGCCTTACATGGAATTAAAAGCGCGGAAACTTTGCCATCTTTTTAAACTCTTGTAGATACTACGAGATGCAACTAAACAGCTTTCATATGTTCTAATCTCTTTGTTACCGACCAAAGAAAATTTGTGATGACCATACTTAGAACTCCTTCATTTGCTGTGGTTTCGATCTTCTTATGCGATAATCAGTCAGCGCATAGGGCGAACTTGAGTACCCTACTTACTTAAGCTTCTTGACACAATGATTCCAACCAGCTGTTAAGTAGTCTTTGCCAGACACGACCTTGCAGCATGCGTTCTGATTACAAGTTAAGCATATCTGCTGAATTTCATTTTCAAGTCGAATTCTCAGCGAACAAACGTTCCGTTTCTAAGGGCACAGCGCATAAGCGTCCATGCATGTTTCGCCATCATTATCACTATCAAAAGTATTCAGCAAATCTTCTCTATACCACACTCTTAACTCTTGGCCAGATGCTACCCTCAGGGGTACGGTTAGGTGGTCGAATATCAGCTCGGGGGATTCAGAGTGCATTCCAGAAAGTAGATATGGTTGTATTTCGACAACTGTGGGAAAATAACTGTGTTGCTATTATCAGTGATAAATGTAAAAAGTGCACACTCTTTACGGCAACCCTAGTTACTCCCAGTACTTCACGCCGGAGACTTTGCCTCTTAAATGGACCAGTTTGAACTCCAGAATATAACCACTGACCAGTATTGTGAATGAACCAAAAGAATTATCTCGGGCTCCAAAACAGTGGTCTCTTCTATTTACCTTCCGCCGCACTGGAAAGGCTGAAAATTGATTTAAAAAAATGGCATTTCATTGATGAAGAAACACTAAAAACTATCATGATCTTTTTAATTTAGTCTGGCAGCAGGTGCTAGCGCACTGAGTAAGAAAGCAAATAATACTCGTGAGAGCGTTCAGGGCAGCGGCACACTTCACTTGCTTTTTTTTTTTAAGACAGATTGGCTAGATATTCCTAGAGATGAAGGATGGAATTCTATAACTGCCCAGGTTTTGATAAAGAAAATAGTTATTCGAAAAATGTAGCAACACGATGATGTAAATGAAGATGGTTCATTTTAAGCCTGGGGATTTAGGTGAAAGATGATGTTAATCAGTGAATGACTCGAGCAAACTCGGAAAATAAAATTCCAAGTGTTCCCAATAGAAGTTGAACCTATGACCTTCAGATTAGTTCTTCAGATAATCTAGTAAATAGCTATAGCCTGGAGCCCAGCTTACCACCAGTCTCCCACAGCTTAATGGTTGAACGTCCGAACTGCTGGTCAGACTCGCAGTTCTTTCAGTTTCCCCGAGTATGTCCGCGTCATGCACTGAACAACATCATCTTTCACTTAAATCGCCATGCTTAATATTTACCATCTTTATTTACATCATAATTGTGCACAAGCATCACATATCGTCATTCTCATCCAAGCAATCTGCACGAGTTTGGTCACTGTGGACCTAGTTAGACTAGTACCCAGCCTGCCACGGGTCTTCTATAGCCCAATAGCAGAGCGTCCTAATTACTTATTACTCTGTCATTCACTGAACAACATCTTCGTTCACCAATATTAAACAACAAGGGAATCAACAAGAAAAAATATGTTACTATACTGGGATTAGCATTGCATTGTCACATTAGACCCCCCACCAACCTTTCTGGTCGCAGAAGACTCCGTAGTATCCAGGAACACAATGGCGCACAAAACTATGGGTCTCATAGAGTGGTACACAGGCAGAGCCATACTGACACGGCCCGTGTTCACAACGACTGTAATTATATGAAACACACAAATATAAGTAATCTGTCAGCCTGAAAAAGAAACGTAAACGAGATGTCTCAGTTTATTTCTATATTTAAGGTTGAGATGAAAATTCATTTTCTTGAGTTGAGTTTGCATGCAGGTGATCACAACATTTGTTGCCCTAGAAATGTGTCAGTTCAAGCCTTCGTGGATCTAAATATTTCATACGTTCGGTTCGTTAAACGGAGGAGAGAAAAAAGCGAGGGCGCGAAACCTGGGTCGGGTAGCATCCCGTCCCAGGTTCCCTCCTTTACGCAACCCAACCTTTTTCTCTCCTCGCTAACATCACCCTGTTTATGATTTCGTGTTTATTTAGTCACTCACGGTCCTCGTTTGAAAAGGTTTGTCTTCTTGTTCTAACGGTATCTCGGCTCACGCTCAAACAATAAATCCGCATCACTCCGCGCGGCCATGTGTCAACTGACTCTGGTTCATGGACATTTCGTTCAAATAAGGTAAGGCCACCTGTAAGTGTTTAATTTATAAATCGCTCTTTTATAATAACCTTTGCGGTCCATAGAACAGCATATCAAATTAATGAAGACAAAATAGTATGAAATAAGTAAAAAATAAGTTTCTCACGAGCATAGGATACTGAAGTGGTGAAATTCTTCACTTGGCTCAAACCTCGTTGGGTTTTTGAACTTGTCTGAAGCTAGTAACTCACACAAGTGAACCCCGTCAACTTCTGCACTTAGTCTAAAATTGAAGGACGGGCATCCTGATGTTCTGAGGCAGTACGTTTGCACCGCACTGGATGACATCATGGACAGGCTCGGCGTGTAATATCTGACTGATTAACTCGTAGATAGAAACGTTGAGTTTCAATAAAACTTTCCGAATTTTTCTCAGCACCTTTTTATCGTGACCGAAACACAAGATACACATCATTCTAAGAATGGGATAGAAAAAACGCCTCCGAGGCATAATTTTGGCATAGTCGTCGTCACGGTTTAAGAAACTTAACTTTGAGAGGACAAATTGTACTTTCTCATCTGTGAGTTGGCTCGAAACAGCGAAATGTGATCAAGACAGAACGGGAAAACCAAGCCACTGTGTTCAGAACGCGAGCAAGAAGCAAGCGTGGAGCCAGATGATGAGTTTTAGTTTGTAAATTTTACTCTTCACCTGGACGTTCTATGCGAAGGAGTTGTCATTCAAATTCAACCTGGGTTAACAGTTTTATTCTAAATAAAACCTATTTGCTCTTATCAAGATGAATCGACAGGTTATACCATTATTACTTTTTCTGCCTTTCAAACAAGAAAACCAATAAGATGACGAACTTTGAATTCAAAAGTCAACGATGATATATATCAAACTTCCTTGAGTCTGGAACCAATTTGTAAATGAAAAGTGATTTCCCTGGGCGGATATTTCTACAATCGGACACTTTTCCAATTTTTCCGCTAACGAGAGATTTAACTGTTAATATTTTTCTTCAAATAACCATGCGTGTTAACCAGCGTGGGTTAAGAAAAAACAGTGTTACATAAAAAAAAAAATTCCGATTCCCAGAAAGCTTTCATTTGGCAGTTAGATGAACCCCAGGGTAACCGTAGCATTGATAGACCCAAATTGATCAGGTTATCCTAATCAACCACAAAACATTGCGCGCTTAGTCTGCCATTTTCTATACTATCTTAATTCGTGAAATTTACATTGTGGTCTACCAATCCAAGTGCGTCTTAGCGATTCGGATGTTTTAAATAATCAAAGGTAGGCGTGAGTGAATTGAAGTCAGTTAACGTAGACGTGTTCTTTTCTTGGTTTATTACATCTATTTTGAAATCACTGGTGGTCCCTGTAAACTGATTGGCTCTAATTGGTGCGATTTATTCACGAATCGCACCATTTTTTGCTCTAAATCGCATCATTTTACGCTTGACTGAGTTTTTGACACATGATGTCAAAGTCTTTCTGTTTTGCATACAAAATAAGATGTAAAAGCGTTTCCGGTTCCGCTTTTTATTTAAAAACCGGCTCAGTACTGCATCAGTAAAATATTTGAATTGACCAAGTCCTGTATTTGGGCGATTTCAAAATAGATGTAATAAAGTGGTAATTGAACCTCGTGTCGTGCAATTTTGGTCTGAAATCATACTTGTGATTTCAAATCGAACTCGCGCTGCGCGCTTGTTCGATCTTGAAGTCACGCGTATGAATTCAGCCCAAATTGCACTCCATTCAGTTCAATTATTATTATTAATTAACCCTTTCACTCCCACGAGTGACCAAGGCAGAATTTCTCCTTACAATATCAATACAAGATCAAGCAGACAAGTGATGAGAATAAAGAAAAATATCAATTAGGGGATTATTAGTGGATCCTATACCAAATTCGCCCAACTAACATCATAAGACTAGTATGGCAGACGGTAAGGAGAATAACTCATGTAAGTGAAAGGAACAGTCACCTGCTGTTGTTAATCGTTATAGCACAACGTGACTTGAATTTCATGTTACCAAACGCAATATGTATTTTTTAAAATAACATTCTATTTACTTGTCAGTAAATCGGTTCGTTCGCTAATTCAAAGCAAATATAATAAAACTACAAAACGGATGTTACCGACTTTCGATAATATCTCGTTTATTGGGTCCAGCTCCGGAGTTTGCGGTAAGATTAAAATACATATCAATATCTAACCGAAAACATCATTTTCGTGCTAAAAACCAGGCCGTGAAAAATCGATTATAAGTGTTGATAATGTGTTGTTGTATTAGGTGGTGCTGTTAGCGTGCATCACAGATGGGTTGATCTAAATGCTTTACGTGTAATTATTTCTTTATCATTCCAAACCTTGTCTTTTCAAACTGGTTAATGGCTGTTGTGTATATTATTTCTTATCCTTTCATTTTATGTTCGGTAGCTTTAAATTTATGATCTAAATTAAAGTTCAAAACAAGAAAAAAAATGGGAAAAAAAGGAAGAAAAAAAGCAAACGAAAAACAACAAAGAACAGCCGAAAAAGCAATACTGAAGAGTTAAACATTTTTTATTCGTAATAATTCGTCAA